CTTCTCTTCCCAATTTAAACTACTGCTGAGTAATAGTACCTTTTGTTTATGGGTGTTCAGCTAATTTTAAGCTTCAAAGAGAAAATGCCTGTTGAAGCTAATTTACGTTCATTTTTAAAGTAAAAGCATTTTCTAACCACAAATGTGAAATTCAATCCCATCTCCTTATACACTGAAGTTAGCTCAAGAGCTTTAGTTTTGTTTTATTTTCCAGTAGGAGCCTAGAGAGAACATAATCTGCATGTCTTACCTTCCTCCATCAGACAAACCACCTATTTAATTCTGCCACCGAAACTTATCTATCTGAATAATTTTTGTTCAGCTCAAAGTGTTTCCTTCCCAATTGCTTTCCTCCTGTGGGCAATTCGCCTGGCTTCACCTGCTTAGGGGTCTTCTTCCCCATCCCTCCTGGCTAACCCAAATGCTGCAGAGATAATACGAAAGATATGAGAGAGGAATATGAGAGAGGGCTTAGAAATGCATCCATCCCCTTGGCTGGGGAAAAGCTTGGCTTTCACCTTTCTTCTCAAGGCCCTTCATCTATCACATTTCACAAATGTTTTGGGAAGCAATTTGTACTCGGATGGTGTAGGACACAAAGTGGAAAAGAGGCTGGATGTCTGTGTGAGCCTAAAGCTGATTACTAATTTGTCACCCACATATCAGCTATGCTGGTATCATTAATCATCAAGAGCTGTTCATGACAGCCTCAGAGCTTTTATAAAAGGAAGGCTGGATGTGGTTTTGGAAAGTACCGTAGGAGTTTATTTTTCCTCCAGCATATTTTCCCCTTGTAAAATTGGTTCCGAATTCATCACCCACACAGGCTTTCCTGAATTTTAGCGACACTTATTGGCATGAGGCTCAGGGACAAGCTGGCTTTGTTTCTGCTCCCCGCTTGCCCTGAGGAGTTATTCTGTCCACAAGAAGTAATGGGCAAGAATGCTTAGCAGCAAGGATTGAAAAGTTTAGCTGCTTATCTAGGAAAACAGGGCATGCCTGAAGTCATGGCAATGAATTCACCAGGCAAAACATGCTTCTGCTCTGCCAGCGCTGAACCACTATTCCCTTTGGTTCTCTGTGAAGCTGCGAAAAAATATATTAACTAATCTTTTCTGATCACCAGAAATGGCAACTTCCACTGCCTCTTGTCTCTTCTTGATTACACAAGAGGACGGAGAGGTGCAGCAGTGTTAGCCTGGCTGCTGCTGGCCACCCACAGCAAGCTAAGCTAGCCCACAGTCCCCGTTCAGTAAAATCTGCTACGATCTTGATTTCCCACATTCTTGATATTGGATGGAGGGCATTACACAGTTACTACACAGATCTAGAAGCCTATGGCTTTAACACAGTCCCCCAGCCTTGCTTTCTGCCTTTCCCATTCTCCTGTTCCCATCCAATGCCATTTTTCTAGCTTGTGCTGTCACAGCTGGATTTCACTTGCTCTTAGCTGACGGGTCCTTCCAAATGCCAAAATAAACCTTGCTCTGGATCGTATCTCTTTTCCTAAAACCACTTAGTGCATCGTCAGGTATTTCACTGTGGTGCTGTGTAAGAAGCCAGCCCTGCTCCAGCCCCTTCTGCCGCCACGTCCGCCCCAGACTCAGAGGCAAAAGCTCCCCGTCTCCATAAAGCTCTCCAGTTTTCAGCATGATGCCAAGGCTCCTCTTGGTTTGCCTCCCGCCTGCCAACCTCACTTGATTAAGACAATATTGCCTTTACCGCCTGTGCATACAGTGCACAGTATTGCACTGCCTGTATTTGAGTGCTGCAATGCCCCGAGAGACTGGTGTAAAATTACGTAATGCGCATGTTTAGAAAATGGCATTTTATTAGCCTCATGGCTCTTGCCTCTTTGAAAATTGGATTAAAGCTTTCTCAGCAACCATGGTGATAGCCTTCAAATCAGCAGCAGAAGCTGAGTCTGACGTATGTCACCTGACTTACAGAATCTCAGGATTCACGTAAAACTGCACAATTCTGAGCAAAATCATGAGACTTCACAACACTGCTTTAGTAACTCATAAGCATCTATTTAACAAAATTCCTCTTTGTCGCATGCCCAATTTTTAAGTGTAGACAAACATTTGCAACCAGTATTACATCCCTCCATTCAAATAGTTTCAGTGCCTGCATTCCTGGTCTAGACGCAAGTATTTTCTCAGTGAGAAAATACAGTCTGAGTTATACAGGAGTTTAGACGAGATTAATGGTCCTTTCCAGTCCCTAAATTTATAAGGCTATTCTACTCTGTTGCTGTTCTTTGAAGAATTTTTAATAGACTTTTCTGAAAGCAGGACTGGCTTTCCTAACACGGCTGAAATGTTGCTGTGCTCAGGGAGGGGCCGTTCTGAAGCAGATCTTGGAAAAACAAGATTTCTGCATATGCAGCAAGTCTGGCACACACGGATGCATGAAACACATCAAAATCAGCTGCACTCTTAGAGCTCATGCGTGCACGCACATGAGATGGTCTGCACCAAACCAATCCTGTCACAACTGTGGTAGCACTTGACATCCCGTATGAATGGAAGTAGCTTCATGAAAAACACCTACAAAACTAGTGCTTTGCAATTTTTTAACTCAGTCCTTTAGAGAACCTATATGACACTTAACAATGGCTATAAACAGTGCCAGCTCTTTAGGGATTATCTTGTGCATCACATATAGATATAAGATTGGCACAGCAGTATCTAGATGTCTTATTAAAATCCCTAGAACCACCCCCATACAAACAATAAATAAAAATTACTTAAATGGATCAAAGTCATTCTCCATTACAACTCCTGTCAGTTCAGTGAGTCTACATTTGGGATTAATTTGCCCACTACAATTATTTTTGCATCTGAACACATCATAAAATCTCTATAAAGAGATAAATTAAATGGGGAAGAGCAGTAAAAAAAAAATATTTACGATGAATTACGAAATTAAACAAGATGGCAAAGAGATTTCTGCACAGATGAACCACTAAAATATAATTAGTGAGACTGTGCAAAAGACTGAATATACCTGAAATAGCTTTAACATGTCTTGAATAAAATATGTTCTTGGCGTATATTGAAAACCCTGTTCAGATAAGGAAAAAAAAGGAACTAGAAGAAAGAGTGTGATAGAGATATCGATCTATGGGACTGGAAAGCTGAAAAGATTACTAATGTGAGGGAGAATCTTTCTTTTATAAGTTACTAGTGTGCAGGCAGTGTAGTATTACCATGCCCCAAAGCCGAGCTATTTTATCATTCAGACCAGATCATGATGGACAGATGGACAGATGAAAGGTAGGATGCACAAGCCCAAGATTTAAAAATATGATTGCCAAAGTCAGGCTGCTTAAATAGTGACCTTCCTTGTTTTCAAGTCATGAATCATTACCAGTCTTACTGAATTGGACCTATAGGTCTTCTCTGCAATTTCACTAAAATTTGACTGCGTTGCATCTGACTGTAAGGCATATACGTTCAAATGCTAGATGATAACTGAAAGTCCCTTTCCATAATAAACTGAATTCCAGATTGAAACTTTGCTATCTTGTGCCATCTATGCTGTAAGTTGTTTTTACTTAATTAAAATGGCTGGAACTTCCTAAGTTAAAGAGCACGGTCAGGAGCCGGTATGCCTAAAATGATGGAAACATGGAGAAAGATTGCTTTTGACAGCTGTTCTCTGCCTGCACATCTGCACATCACCTGCCTGATCCCACAGTAACGCTAGGAAAATGACAATTTGCACGATTAAAATGCACTCCTCCCACCAACCATAACTTTACCAGAAGTTTATTAAGGTCATTCGACTTTAAGCAAGCATCCTGAAAGTAAAATATTATAGACTCCATCTGTGTAACATGAAAGAATTTGTGCTGGCTAGAAGTTCCTCTAAACAGGACCTGTCAAGAGAGGCAGATCTCACCTATCACTGTGGTGCATAGGAAGCAAAAGACAAGTCTCTCAGGACCCAGATGTTCTTGGACAGGCTAGACCAAATTGAATATGCTCGAATTGCAAAGCAGAAGCCAAAGCGGCCAACAGAGAACAGTTGGAGCTACGGAAGCCTCATGTGACTCATACGCCTAATTAAAGAGTCCGTCTCATTTTATCCCTGGCTGGTGCTCACATACGTTCCTCACTTTGGCCTCATTTAGGAAAAGTGCTTGTGATGCAGCCTGAGATGCAGGAGGCGTAAATGTATGCATTAAGAACCTACATCAGTTAAGAGGTGTTTTAATTTCCTAGCCAAGCCGAGATAGTGAAGGATCTCCAAGCCACAGCCATTACTTGACACTTGAGCAACTGGGAATTCAGGAGCAGATCTAGGCAGCTGAACTCATTATGAAACAGCAGACAGGCTGCCTCAGCTGAGAGGACACACATGGCACCAGCCATATCTCTCAAGATATTTTCACCAGCCGATTTCACCTGCCTTGTGTTGCGGGAGCTCTGCCAGCTTCCTCCTCTCATAGTCTGCTTCCAGCATTTACCATTTAGCCTCATGAAAGACAGTGTTGCAAAGCTGAGCATCATCACAGCAAATGACACAGCTTTTTAAAATACACCACGACTCCGTCTGCCAAGTCCTTCCCTGTTGACACAACAGCTACATCTGACTTGAGGGGAGCTTATGGATATCGATCAACTGTCATAACCCCATGCTGATACCCCTCAAAATGTCATGTTGGTGCCACGACACCTTATGTCGCACTGTTATCAAAATATGCCCTCGTGAAAGGGATGAAACAGTCATGAAAGCTAGTTTTGTATATGGTCTGGAGGAGCTCATTGCCAGCCATTAAACCAACATAGTTTCTCTATGTTGGTTTTCCCACATCTACCACAATGAAAAGATGAAAGGAAGAAACCAAGTGTTAATGATGACAAGAAAGCATCACCCTAATTTTGAGTTAAAACTACTTATCCCAGACAGGGTGCTTGAGGATTAATCTTTTCACAGTACTCTGCAAATGTAAACATTTATGATTGATAGATTATGATAAAAATACTTACAAGGTTCCTCATATGTTTCAACATTATGGTCAGTCGAGTGCCCTCATAGGATATGACTAATTGCACTCCAGGCTTATGATCAGTTGACCGAGGACCTAAAATAGGCCAAATAAGTTCATTTTTTAGTAAACAGATCAGTAGAAATACATATCTAAAATACTAATACACATGAACTAATATACAAGCAGGTGATTATCTCAAATCAAGGATGAAATCAAGGATGAAATTAGAAGGCATTGATAATGAGTATGACACAAATATTAAAGAAGTGGTTTGACATGCAGTGCTCATCTTTTTGCTTGTTTATTCATTGATAGTGGAGTTTTAGGCTTTCTAATTGATACCAACCAGAATTTCAGTGGGAAATTTATGCGTAAGTTATAAATAATTGCTTTGTTTTGTTTTTGAAACCACTGTTGTTGCACTGTTGTGGCAGTGACCACTGTTTCGCAGTGCTTCTGTCTAGCTAAAAACATTGGATACGTTTTCCAGTTCCCAACAGAAAATAAATACATAAAGTTTGCAGACACGTTCCAAAACAATTGTGGATTTAGAAGAATAACAATATCTCTATCTGGCAGATATAAATTCTCCCTTCCTCATTCTGTATTTGTCTCTGTTTCATGCCTGTTTTCATGCAGCCAATTGCTTTCATGGGTTTTCTACTAAAACACATTTACAGAGTCTGACTGTTCCCACTGAGGTCAGTGACAAGACAGTCCTGAGTTTCCAAGCAAGAAGGACCAAGCTCATAATATGGAAGGAATGACTAAGCATATCCTTTTCCTTCCTTCTGCTGCAGGCACTGAGCCAGCGGTCTTCACTGCCAGAAAGGTCCGTCCTTGGAGCGGAGTCGGCAACGTGGCCTACCCGCCTCACGGAGACAGTGGAGAAAACACATGGATGCTTTTTTACCATAATATTGCTGCAACGGGCAGCACAATAACCCCCTCTCCGTATCTCCCTGAGCTTCTTCTGTTGCAGTGTTAGCCCTGAGCAGGGTGGCATTAACCGTTTTTCACCATTTGGTCTGAGGTCCACAGTTCTCCACACAATATGCTTGTTTGTGCACTCATTTTTGTTCTCTTTCTCTCTTTTCACCACTTGCGCACCAGGTTTGCTACAGCCAAGATTGTAAGAAGAGACATCAAGCTCCCTCTTTGCAGCTTTTTCTCTGTTATTTGACAAAGGAGGCCACACAGGGGACTTCATAAAGAGTAAACCACATTGGCTGTATTTTTCAAAAGAAAAACCAAAAGCATAAACCCTGGCGTGAAAAGAGGCTAAAGTAGCTGCTAAGCAGGTAGAATTACAGTGGTGTAATGCAGTATGGACACCCAGAGAGTTGGTGCAATTGCCATTTATCATAAAGAAAGGTATTCAACTGAATGAAAAATAACCCAGTGTGTACATATAATTGCTATAATATAAATTTTCCAAGCAGTCTGGATACGAACACTTCTGAGCATGTGGTGTTTGAACTGGAATTTTAGAATATGAATCCATCTCAAATTTATTTCCTTTGGAGACTAGAAGAATTCATTTTTAATCACCTCCTAATTAGAGAAAGGCCAGAAACAGGCTCCTGAAAAATTGAAATCTTATGATGAAATCACTAAGCTGGGACTTGGAAGACGTAGGTGCAGTTCTTCATTTGCCATTGTCCTTTATGAACTTTGGCAAATCACTTAGCTAGACGACGCCTTATTTCCTTGCTTGTTGCATGCAAATAGGGGCAGGGAGGGATAAAGGATGACAAGGGATGAAAACCCCATGAACCAGAAAGGGTTAAGTTTTTTCCAAGGGAAAACAAACAAATGAACAAAATATTTTATTTTCCCCCATCCAAAGCCAGCATTTTACCTTTTAAAAACAAACAAACAAAAAAAAACACGTAGGACTTTTTTTCTTTAAGTTGCATCAGGAAAAGTACCTAGGGCATGAAACATAGTGTAATATAGGGGATTCGTGCTTGAACATACGGGCACAATTCTCTTGAGGAGCTTTGTTAATATTGTGAATTGCAGTGGGTCATCCTGAGCAGTTTAGAAAGAGTAGCAAATCTCAGAGGCTAAATTACATTGTTTGTATTCAGTTGAGCAATATGCCTTTTCTTTCCTACCAGTACTACCACTGTTTTTTTCTGCTTTATTTAAGTTTCATAGCGTGAATGTTTATATCCAGTGGAGAAATTTTTCTATGGAACTTGGCATTTTCATTTTCAAGAAACAAATGCAAATAAGCTTTTAATCAAGTTGAAAGTAATAAAAAGCATGGGAGGGAAAAATGCACTTCTAATTGAGTATTCAAAGTGAAGTCTGAAAAAGACATTATGAGAGTGACTATTACCAAAATATTTACTTTGCTCTGTAATAAGTGGAGCACCAACCAACAAAATGAAAAAAAGTAGGAAAAAGAAAAGTAATGCAAGAAGTCTGACACGAGAGAAACTTCTACCACTTATATTGTATAATAAAAGACAGCTACACTCATCTACACTCAGCTGTTAGACTGTATTTTAAGTTTTCTCATACGACGTTAAATAATGGCCCCTTTGAAGTCTAAGTAATTTTAGCTTCAAATGATAATAAAACATGCAAACAATAATTATTTCCAGTCTATCCTGCTTGGGCAGATGGACTTGAGCTCAGGCCCTGCATTTTTAGGAATTGTCACACTCTACTTGCCCTCCATTGTAGGCAAGGGCCAAATGCTGGCCTGTTACAGACACAGGTTAAAGCCTCATTGACTTCAGCTGAAGCAAGGCTTCCCTGTCAGGGATTGATTCTTCACTGGTGTTAATGGAAAAGCTGTCAAACATCAAACGAGGGCCCTGGAGTCCGACTGCCCATAGCTGAAACGACATTCACAGCAATTTTTCACTGTTACTTGTATCCGTGTACCCCTCAACCCCAGAAGGAAGGTCCAAGTCAGCTGCCAATACATCTCGCAGACAAACTCAAACATTGTGACAGTTTATGATTTCTTTCATCAAGGAACATATACACTAGACAACTGTGGATCCATTTCTTTCTTTTCAGATGACAAAACTAAGGAATTAGTGTTAAAATTAATCCTAAGGTGGTACAATCTCCAGAATTGTCAAATATACACTTTCCTTCTTCATCTAGATAGTCGTCTATAGCATTGTTGGTAACTACCAGCCATTTATTCTGTATTTTGCGCAATTTTCATTTTAAAACAAACTCTGCAGTATGCTTGCACAACAATGCACGAGAAATACAAACCGCAATATCTGCTATACAGAAAATTGACCAAATCTTCTGCAGGGAAACTATATTTTACTGATACACTGCATTTCACATATAGACTGCAAAGCAATGTGCACACACTAATCAAATAAGCCTCACAGCACCACATTTAGGGTGGTATATTTGACTCTCTCTCCCTTAGATTTGTCTCTCAACTTTCTTCTTTTGACACCTGGCATCAAAAGGGTTTTGGAACCTGTTTTGTTTCCCAGGAAGAGCATATGCCGACTGGCTGCTTGCACTGGCTACAGCTTGGAAGGGAATTACAAGCCCCAAACGGACTCAATTTCAGATACGCATCTGTATTAATTAATGCACAACACCCTCTCATCGCTTTAGTCCTGGAAGCTAACACGAAGTACTCATGACCACTGAAACACTATGGGCAACTGAAGCAGAAATGCAACTCGTGGCCAAAGCTTTACAGTGAGAATGAGCCACTGCAGTAGACAGAAACTGCATGTAACATGAGAGAAATAGCTTATTGTCCTAAGGGAGTATTCAAGAAGAACTGGGATTCTGCATGGAGAGGCGGCCTACACATTTTGCTTATCAGGAAGCTTGGATTTTGCTTTAGAAAGACTCAGAGTCAACCCCTCTACTGCACTAAATGTACAGATGTCTGCTAAAATGAACTGAGCAGTAGTCAAACACGCCAGAACTTGACCCGTGTTGTGTACTGTTATAACCAACAACAAAGCCTTCATGATCGCATAACTTAGAAGAGCCTGGAATATTAATACTTTCAGGGGATATAACACCGAGAGCAGAAAAATAGACTACACAGATTGGTATCACAATGATTTTGATGGATTTCTATTTTCTTTCTTGTTTTTAAGAGCCTTTATGAAATGCTGTCTCTGAAATAATTTCTGATGTATCCTGCCCTTCATCCCTTGTAGTAAGCTTGGTATAATGAAATGCTGACAATATTCAGTATAATTCAGAATTCGCCCCACTGGGAATACTGAATCAGTATTCATGTCAAACTAAATTTAGCACTGATTTTTAATCTCTTCATTGCTAGGAGCACAGTACAAATTCATAAATTTTAATTTTTATTTTACTTTAGTACGTGTAATTACCTACAGCATTTGTAAATTAAAACAGCGTAAGAGAAAGATGCTGTCTTGATCAAAATTCACAACCTGCTTGTACTGGGCATTGGCTTTATTTCAGGTTGATCCTAACTAGGAGACAGATGACTTGACTGTGTAAAGGCTGAGGGAGAAATCATGCTCATGGAAAGGTACAGTGTATATTAAAGTCATGTTAAACCTGAGTTATTCTTTACACCAGAAAAAAAAAAAGGTAAGGCCCTTATAAGCTCATAAAGCAATGAAATCTGTGGGTGAGGGGTGCATTTGCTTCACAGTAACTGCCTCTTCCCTGTCTACTCAGTGAACTCGTCTCCTGCCCCAGCTCTCGACTATGGCATTTTTGAAGAGCTCACTTTCAAATCAAGGGCACTCCAGGGCGCTCTCGGCAAGCAGGACCCTCCGGAGCCACGGCTGCTCTTCCCAGCCGCTCCTCGCTTGCTGCCTTGTGGATAGGTGCGATCACCCGCCGCGTGCCTTGGCACGACTCAGCTCTGCTCCTCACGTCATGCAACGTACAGATATGGGAGCTAGCTCACGTGTGGGCTCAGCAGGATATGAGATACAGGAGCCCAAGTCCAGCAACAAGGGAATACGCACGGACTGACTTTAAAAAAATAATCAGGAGTGTCATCAGCACATGCACGGTCTTCTTTTCATACCGAAGCTAGCTCATTTACAGCTAAAGTCACACATTTCCCTGGTTCACTGCAGTTCAATGTTCAGAAGTGGTGTCATAGCGAAAGCAGCTCAGGCATCATTCTTGTTCTCTGCGTTTACAGCATCTAAGCTAACTGGACCCTTGTATGCTACAGGTACTCTCTTAATAAACAATAATAACGAATTCTCTAGGCCAAAGGGAGATTTTTTTTTTTCCTGTCAGGCAAAGGTTTTGTGCTGAGTCTAGAAACAACGTGACCAAACTTCAAAACACACAGTTCCTGTGTGGGAAAAAAACTCTAGTTAACCATTCTGCCTGAGGTCAGAGACACATCGGTGTCCTCTGACCGGCCCGTGACCTTCATCTAGAAACTTCACAGTGAACAAGCACCTGTCACACAGCTTTCATTAAACACCCACTAAATACATTCTTACCTTTGTTTCTTTAATTTCTTCTCTAATCGTGACACCATTGACTGCTAAATGCAGGGCTCACCCTTCCATTTACATGGACTAGGAACAGCATTCCAAGAGTTACGACACTGCAGCTTAATTCTCAAATTTATTACATGCTCGATTCAGGTTTTTCCATGAGATATTTATGCCTGATTCTCTGCAATTCTTACACACTTAAATCCTACTGAAATGTCAAAACCCCTCTCAGAATCTGGGCCTTAAATTTCCTTACGCCTCAGCTTGCTCTCACATGCCTACATCTATGGTTAAGAAGTCTATAAAAAAAGTGAGCCCCTGGAACCAGGCTACAGGCTGCATTTGGACTCTGGTTTGGATTTTCTGGACAAAATTTAACTTTGTATTTTCCTAACAGCTAGGCCATCTTTGTGGTATCCGCTTATTTCTTTGCATATATTTGCATATACATATATATACACATATAATTATATACACTGTAATATATGTATATTATATATAACCTTTGTATAGGTTAGAGCAACCATTAGCAATTCCCGACTGCCACAACAAATGTAATATAATAATGGCATAGCTTAATCAAATAAATTCCAAATAGGAGGAATCTTCCAAAGACTGAGAAGCGAGTGTGGGATTTACTTTGTTCTGATGGATTAAATAAAACAGGCCCAGCAAAACAGACAGTAAAGCTCGTGTCTGCAGAGAGGAGATACTACCATAATAGCCATCCAAACAAAATATGCTGAGATGCTTGCACTCTGGAACGTGGATAACTGGCAATCTTGGAAAATCCTTATTGCTTGCAAGACAAAACAATGGGCTGAACTGTTCCAGCACCGAGCGCAGCTGCAGGCTTCTTTGCAAGCTTCTGTTTTGTGTAAAAACTGACCACTGAAGATGATCTTCAGCGCAGTGGAGGACAATAAAATATTCATGGTTTACATTATATGGGTTATGCTTTGTTGCTTAATGCTGTCATGCCAGTGATTAGATTAAATTGGGTACTGGATGGAACAGGGAAATGGGTTAAGTATCTACCTAGGTAAAGGAAATAACACAGAATTTGATTTAGTGAGAAGTGAATTACAACTATCATTAATAATGTATGCCTGGGCATTAACATAATGGTCTGTTATTTACCTGCTCCGTTCATTGTGAAAATGACATCTTTAGGGGTCATGACTAGCTTTCTTTGCTTATCCTAATGCACATTGTGCTATATTCTTCCCCAAAGGTTTTGTTTTGTAAAACAAGAAAGCTACCACAGTTTGTGCAAATAAACATTTATTTTGTATGGAGGTATGTTTATTTAAAAACAAATGAAGAAAGAGTGAGGAGGGGTGAAACAAACCTGCAGGTCACCTCACTAAATCATTTTCACAAATCTGTTGGAGCCAGGGATTATTTGTTGGATATCTAAACAGCCACGAAAAAGCCACACTACAGACCTTTGCATTAGTATATTTAGTATGATTAAAGAACACCTGCTTAGAAAACAAGTAAGTTCAGCAAACCACATACCTAAGACTGCAGATGATGGTTCTTCTGCCAGTGTATTTTTGGACCAATTCAGGAAGAAGCTGAGCACCAGCTCATTCTGAAAGAAAGCAAAAATACTTCAGGGAATATCAGATGTTGTGCTCTGCCCCTTAAATTCATCCATTCATAGCAGGTTGCGGGCAGCCTTCTGGTGTACACACTAGAACTAGCAATCACGGGAGCCTTTCCCCTCTCATAACGCGCTCTAATAACCTTCGTGCTCTTACACTGCTGTGAGGTAAAACCAGGGCCCCAAACACAACTGAAGGCAATGACTTTACACAGGCAGTGGGAGGACAGGGCTGCCTCTTATCACTGGCTCTTATCCCGGCTGCCTACCTGGCTCCTCTCTGGCCATATGTTTTCAAATAGCCACGTGCCGGGGGGTGAATATATTGCTCTATGGCCTCCCAATATAAATATCAGCAGAAGTAACTACTACAACAGCAGGGATGCAGGAGAACACCTTGACCCAGCATGAATTTCGCCCTTGGCACAGGACCAGTCCCTGGCATCTGACCTAACCTGTAGCCTCCTTTACGCTTAGATGTGGCACATATTTCCCCATCCTGCTTAAGAAGTCACCTACCTTATGCACTGCACCATAATTTTTATTTTTATGTAGTGACCTGAGCTGCTCTAGTGAACATATATAACAAGGACTTACATTCAGCTTTAGAGAATTAAAATAATAAACCTGACCTCCCAGCTTTGAGCATTGCGCAAGGCAATAAAAATGTGAATTCTGAAATGAACTCTCATGATACTGAATCAAAGGTGCACTGTAACTGCATTTTATTAGCTTTTTTCATAAAGCTGTATTTTGGAATGCCCGTTTTCTTAACACAGTTAGAATTGCTACATTCATTTTGATGTTACTTGGACTGACACTGTAACGAATGGGCTGAAGAACAGACTTTTCAGATTCTAGCATTAAAATGTCACCATTGTTTTTTTCCAGGCCATGGAAAATAACGTGTCTCTTATCAACAGGATGTACTTTATGTAGCATTTGTCTTGTTTCAGTTTGACAAGATGTGGCATGATTTGTGCGAGAAAAAAAAAGAAAAAGCAACCTCGAAATGGAAGAGGTTAGTGACAAATGCAGCTAGTGCACAGTTAACATCTGGGTTAGACAGAGGAACAAGATGCCTATGTTCAGCGCAGAGATAAGGTTCTGCAATTCGGATTTATTTTAGCAGTTGCCTTTTATTATTCATTCTACTGTTTGGAGTTTTTCCTCCCACACTTATTTTTTTCTTTTAAATAAAATAAAATAAAAATAAGAGAAAAAAACCCAGAAAGCTTATTTTCTTTCAATTAAGTGACAAGTGATTATTAGCAGTGTATACAGCTGCCCATTCTGAGCATTACCAATTATTTTTTCATCTCATGAGGCTCGCTTATAGAGGAAAGCCCATACACCTCCTTCAGGCCGTGACAGCTTTAAATAACAAGGTTATTCTCTGCGGATCTGCATCGGCTCTTTCAGCACAAGTCCCAAGTGCAGGGAATCTCAAGGGTTGAAAGAGTATATTTTTGGCAGTTCGGCCTTTACTTGACAGCATGAAAATAAGCAGAGAAACTTAAGTAGCCCTTCTAGTTCAAAGATCTGGAGAGAAGCAGGCAGGAGGTGGAAGGAAGGACACACTAGCTGACTTGAAAGAGAAATAAAAAATTCTGTACTGAGCAGCTTGGTGTTCTGCTTCCTCTCTCCTCGCTCTTTCAAGAGTGAACTGAATAGGTTAGTAAATAGGAGGTGGGAGGATTATTTCAGGTGATTGTTCCAGATTCTCATTTCTAAAGGAAACAGCACTCACTCTGAAAAAAATGACAGTTTAAAAACACAACCGCTGCAGGATTTTACATCAGGCAGGATCGTGACCCACTGCTGGTGCCACAGGGCTCCTCCCAAAGCACTCGCTGCCTGTGCTCCGTCAGATGCTCAAGCACATGGGGAGGCGGCAAGGCTCACGGCGGCAAAGAGACAGGAGAAAAACAATTCAGCAGGTCAGGTCACAGGGGCAGATTTTGCAGTCTATGCGGTACAAAGGCCTCCAAAAGGCATGGAGGGGATCCCCTGCATGTTGGTGGCAGCAGGCACGTTGCACCCTGCTACTCGCAGGACAGGGCTGAGCTTCCCTACGGCCAGACAGCGCCAGCCACGTTCCCTTCGGCAAAGCAAACACATTCCTAAGGTCACGCTTGGTCAGCAGAGCACCGGAGCGCGCCGCAAACTTTCAGCTCATTCCTACGTCCTGCTGCAGTCAGCGCGACCTCAGTCAGCTGGACTCCAGGCGACAGGGCTGAAGCTTATCCTTAGAGCTGGGCATGCGCCGATTCACACCGATAAACAGAAACAGACATCGGAGGCTTCTGCCTACGCGTGTTCAAAAGTGTGAGGCAAATTATTTTTGTGGATAGAGGCTGCTGCTAAATAAGCAGTTACCACTACAAACACACGCACCCATAGGTGGGAATCTTAGACATCTTATCCGTGACAACTTTGGCAGACAGATAGGTCCTGGAGATGCCCACAAATACCCACCTACCCTTTCTCCCTCAGATCTATTACCTTTGGCTCAGCAAAGAGAAATTATATTCCCTAAGATACTCTCTGTACTGGGATTTTTAAGAAAGCATCCTATTGCATGTCTAACTTTTGGTACCTAATAAGAAAATAATTTTCAAAATGTAATTTCTGATATTTTTCCAAATCAGTCAAAAACACCAAGCTCTTGCAGAGCAACCACGTACGTATGGGTACATCAGTGATGCTCTGCTTAGAAATAATCATCATCTTTATTCAGCCATTAAACTAAAAAGGGGCAAATTCCATCTTCATTTACACAAGGATACAACCAAACCATGCCATTTCACTTGGCCTCAGGGGAGCTGTAGCACAGCAGCATTTGTCTAGCTCTCTCCATTACAGCCTACCTAGAAAAAAGCCCTGCTGATAGTGAAATACAGACAGGTTTCCAATTTTGTTCCAAAGACCAGCCTCTCCTGGAGTCAGAGAACACCCATGCGCCAGTTATACTTTAGCAGGATGGAGAAGCAGCAGGAGAGAAATAAAGCAGGAAAAGCTGACCTTGCTAGAGCTATTATATCTTCAGGAAAGGTTGGGGAAAAGAGGAGACTTTGAACCCTTCCCATTTTTGCTCTGCTTGACATCTGCCAGCAGGAGCACATAAGCGGTTGGCGTTTGAGGGACCCACACACATCAGGTGCACTTTACATTCCTGGTGTTAAATAACTGCATGTGGGGACTGGAGCTGGAGCTATTTTCTGAACGCTGTAAATCCAGAGTAGCTCCAGTGAATAAAATACAGACGAAATATGGGAAGCACGATATCAAATCTGGTTACTTTTATAGTGTAAACCATTAGTCGCTCTAGAACAAGGCTGTGGACCTGTCTTTAATTGTGTGTTTGATAAAGAATGTATGTAATTTACAATCATTTCATTTACATCCACTTTAAAGCTTTTTTACACAGTCATGGTGTAAGAGACTTCATCTATAAATGATCATAAAGCTGTTTATGGCATATACACATATCTGATACACTGTCAGTGATTGCTTACCTGCTCGCATTAGGTTTATCTTTGACCCCAGAGTTTTCAGAATGACAAATTAGACACTTCTTAAAAATATATTTCTTTATAGAGGCAAAACCTGGTATTTCTTTCTATTTGCTGGTCTGCTGTGCACCTGTGCTTTTTCCACCCTCCCTGCCAAGTCCAAGCCCACCACACTTGCACACAAAACCAGGCTATCTGAAAGAGTTGAGGCAAATAATGTATAAAATATTCAAGGCTATGTATTTTTGCAAGACCAGCAAGTACATCAAATGTCTCTGAGCTATGTTATCAACAACAACATCCAGCAATTAAGTGCTATTTCACTTCAACGATGAGAAATGGGAAAATTAGCCTCAGAGAGACACTAGCTGGCTGATATTACCAAATACACAAGCTTGCTACATGAAACTGGTTTATATTCAGTTTTGTATTTCTAATTTTTTATTTGTAATGCCTAAGTCAGGCTCAACTCATCCTTTCAAGATAAGTAACAAAACATTCAGCTTTGTCAATAGCCAAAATGTTGTTTCTTGACACCAGGGCCAAGAACTGACTCAATTAACGGAGCCTTACCTGGCTCTTCTGTCCCTAGGGAGTGTGCAACTCTATAACACAGCATTAAAATGACAAGCCACTAGGGCAGCCCCAATTTACATGATATGTCATGGGGTTTAGATGGCAATCTCTATTCAGTCCATCACTCAGCTGGAGTTGAGTGAAATAGAAAAGAGAGAAAAAAGAAAAAAAGTAAAAGTAGTTGGCAGCAGCTGCCTTTTGTCATAAATTTCATTTGTAGTATGATAATGTATAATTTTACCCTCCTCCATATTTCCAACCTTCAATTTATTGCCTCTTGATGCTTCACCTATGTGCTATATGTTTATTCTGCCATTTAATAAAGCGAAACTCCAGGAGTTTAAACACTGTCAAACATGTTGGCAGGTTTACCCTTGTGGGGAAAACCCAGACAATCCTACACATGCAGCTAACCCATCAGCCCGTCAGCGATGGGGCAGCTGGTGCAAAGCTAAATATTCTCACTCTTCTCACCTATTTACCACTGATTTGATGCAGGCAGAATGAAGCTTAAAAAAGATGCTGAAAAATCTTCCTTGATCCTGTCCTAAGTGATTCAATGTGAAAATGAAGGTGCATCAATATTTGCTAAATATCAAATTCCTTCTCAGGGGCAAACACTATCTGCAACACATTACAACAGAAAATTCAGTCAGCATTATTTATTAACTTTGCATTTTAGTGATTGATGCAGCAAATATAGCTTTTTGTTCAAGCATTTCGCCTGACTATAGTTATTTTAACTAAGTGTTAACCTGAATTTGGAAAAAGCATTCCTTACGAGGCAGCTCTTCCACACACACCTGAGAGGAAGTCAGAATGAGAGTTGCATTTGAAATAAATCATAGGCTTAAAATCTGCTTTGAAAAGGGGTAAGCATAAGCACCACTCCCAAGTTAAGTCTTAAACTAGCCCCACAGCAATCATCACCTCCACCACCTGATGATTCTGTATTTACTGGGTCTGATACCAATGTTCAGTGATAGAGAAGGATGGTTTGAAGTTTCTCTTATTTAAAGAAGGGTTTAAAGAAACCTTTAATTCTTATTCAAGCTACAGTATAAATGAGGAGGCACCTATTTTCCATCTCTTCTCCTTCATTCATACCATTTAGCAGAATGTCTGCAACATTCTGGCCTACTCTTAATGATAACATCATATTCATAATCAGAATTTAGTCTGGACTGGAAAGCATGCATGCAAGGCATGGCTCAGGGAGGATATATACAGTGTAAGGGTTTTTTTTTCTTTTTTTTTTTTTTTCCTAGAACTTCTAATTACTTAATTGGTAGAACCAAGTTTCCAGTTGGTTTTACGAGAGCTGGACTAAACTTTTCAGGTGGTCAGTCTTGTCTAGTTGATCCAGAGTAATGTGTTTACAGTTGGAGCAAGGGTATTATTTAATAATGAAATAAAAACTCTTCTTTTTTGACTTAGCACATTCTCAGACCATGTCTCAGCGAACGACACAGCTAAAATAAAATTCCGCAGGGAGAAATGACTATGCCAAGAAAGACCAGAGAACCCTGTTCCACAGGCATGTGCTGTTACAAGGCTTCTTCACAAAATTCTGAATTAATTATTTATTGCTACATAGTTTTACTATTTCATGGGAATGACAGTTTGGTAATGCTCAAGAACAGACATCTCACTAAAAGGTTTAGACCAGGCTCCCTAGCAATTTCAGGAAAAGGACAAATTTGACTGGAAAGTGGTCCAAGGCATGAAGAGAGACAAGAATAATTGTATTTACTTTTATCAAGAAAGCCTGCTATCTTGACTTTCTGCTCACAGTAAAACCGAGCAGACACCAAGACACTTTAAAAAAAGAAACATGCTAGAAGGAAAACTAGAAAAGAGACCTTCCACTAGGAATACAAAGGAAATTACTCACTGACTGGTACTGCTCTAAGTGGGTCAGAACATGTTGGTATTTTCTGAATTTCCCACATCTCTCGGTGGGTGAGGTATACTGAGGTTAAACATCATAATCCACTGTTTAGGGAGTGACAATAATTTTAAAGGTTACCACCAAGAATTGCTGGTTAGATGTGTGGTGATTAGCAAGAAGATTTCCAGACTACAATAGTACTTTGTAGAGAAAAACAACCTGCTCCTTACCCCATTTATTATCGTACCCTCCAAGTCTAGCCCGGTATTAGCTAGACACTCCCGTGAGCTACACACTCCTTTACAAATAAAGTTGCTTTCCTCTTATGGTTGCTGGTGAGGTCTGCACTGGACTTGAACTGTTTCAGTAACTGAACATCACACAGTTGGGCAGCCCAGCACGAGTATATGAGCACCACTGGATGGCTTAGAGCCAACCCAGTACATGTCTCTGAACAGATCTGCTTCCAGCACCCTCCAAAGTCCGTATTCCTGGTCATGCATCCAAAGAAGCTGGGGAAGGGTCGGGAGCACAGACCTTACGAGGAGCTGCTGAGGGATGTGGGGATACTTGGTCTGGAGGAGAGGAGGCTCAAGGAGGACATTATCGCTCTCTACAACTACATCTTCTCCGAAATAACTACCGAAAATAGGACAAGGGGCAATGGCCCCAAGTTGCTCCAGGGGAGGTTCAGACTAGATATTACGAAAAAAATTCTGTATGACAAGAGGGGTGAAGCACTGGAACAGGCTGTCCAGGGAAGTGGTGGAGTCACCGTCCCTGGCAGTGTTCAAGAAACGCAGAGATGAGGCCATTAGGGACATGGTTTAGCAGGCATGGTATTGAAGGGCTTACAGTTGGACTTGATCTTCAAGGTCTTTTTCAAACATCATGATTCTATGATTCTGTGTTCCCATGTCCCAGCAGCAACCCAGCTGGAGAAGGTACCCAGCTCGCTGGCGCACACGGGCGCATCCCGAAGGGAGGAGGAAATGAAGCAGTTAGCCCATTAGGAGCTACTTGGTTCCAGCTGATTATCAGGCCATTTACAGACCATTGAGCAGGAAGGAGAGGAGAGCTTCTGTGTGAGGCTGAAAAGCGTGTTTATAACTATCCCACGGCTTTGAGCAGTCTAATTTTTCAGCCGTAGACTTTGCTTCTGCACAGCAGTGCTTGGCCCAAATTGAAAATTCATGTATCTTTCTTACAGCAGCGCAGAGCACAGCAAAAGATACAGAGCTCTTCATTTCTAGGTCACTGACTTATATCATTTTTTCCTCAGCTGTGACCAGAAGGTGCTATTGTAAAACAAACCTGTGACCCTAACTTGAGTGACACAGAAACTACACAGCAATTAACCTCAACCTGTGCAGTTTATTCGGCAAAATCAGCTGAGGGAGCCAAGCACCCAAGTCAGCTTTCCGTGTTAAACTGAGTGTGACTCTTTGACACAAATATTATCCGTCTTTGGAAATCTTCTCCATTTCAACTCAGGACACAGAATTTCTATTATTAATAAGAGGCCCGTTTGTTTTACACATGGATTATTTCCCCTTTAGCCTCAATTATGTAATCACTGCTGGGTAAGTTATACAGTTAGTTAAGCAGGAAACATTTTTTGCCCATCCTGCAAGATATTTAAGACTAAAGGAAAAAAAATCTTGTCATGCCCTCCTGTTGGCCTCCTCATATAAAGGTACATGCTTCTACACCAAACAGCCCGAGGCAGGCCTATGGCCCCGAGGCCAAGGGATGCTCCCGGCAGGCACGGTCTCTCTCCTAGAGAACATGCCACGAGTGAAAGAGCAGGGATTACTGCACCCTGTCGTGACCTGTCCCTCGTTAGGTTACTAGGATATATGTAGCCCTCGAATCTAATGTGGCCACCACTGTCACCCTCCTGCCAGACACCTTTCCCGACAGTTGTTCATCATAGCAAAGCACTCCCTACTCTCAGAGCCTCGGGTCACATCAGTGACTGCGTGTTCAGCTCAGGGACTAACGCAGTGCTATGAACTAAGACTGTGTGAGGGCACAGGGGGCCTCTTAGATGCTCCCGGTCCCAGCTCTTATTGCCATCGCAGGGCACAGGCTTTATGCTGGGCCAGACAAGGAAGAGTCAATTCCTGCTACTATTGCAACTTTCCACTCTGAAACAGGAGGGAAACATCAGATCTCAGCAAACAGTGAAGAATTAAAAATGAGAAAACACCCATGTGAACGCGCATGATGTATCATTATGATCATACTGAAATGTTCTGATTTTGGTCTTATGCTTGCAAAATAGTTTTTCTACGTGTTAACTTACATTTTGAAACAAAGAGTAATTCTGGGCTGAAACAATGGGACTTTTCATTTAAGAACTGTCAAAATCAGACTTTTCCATATTTCAGAACTTACTCCTTTTTTTAGACATTACATTCTTCAGAACCAACTCTCTGCTGTCAAAAATTCAGTGAATCACCACTTTTGTATGGCAGCAAAGGAAGGGAGGTTTTTCTGAAAAATACCCTGCCAGTTCTAATAAACTATTTTTCTGTCATTCTTGTCTTTGTTTTAAACCCTGCTGAACGCTACGATGGTTTTACTTCCAAATGGCTATATAAGAGGTAGAAGTGTCACTTATGTCATTTATTTTCGTAGATCACAAAGTGAAAAGCTTCCTGATTCTTTTGATACAATACCACTAAAAGTAGTGTAAGCAGTCGTTACCAAAACCAAATACTGGAAATGCTCACATTAGCCAGTTCCCTGGGTCCACTTAATAACTGCTTCAGATAGAGATTCAAATCCTTCACTCTTTTATGTTCAAGATCTGTAAAAGGTAAATGCCATGATGGGGGAAATCTGGAGAAAAAAAAAAAAAGATATTCGTAAGTTTTACAGCTCTTGCAATAAATTTGCTGGAAATATTTCCAACACTACTTTACAAAAGATTATTAGCACTTTCTAAAAGTTTTTGTGGGAAGGGGAAGGGAAAGGTGTAATGCCCAGAAGACAATATACTGCTTGATTCTTTTTTTTTAAATTATTACTATTCCAATAATTTGCTGATACTCTGTTCGTAGCCTTTTTTTTTCTATTTTTTACATAAATGTATTAAAAAAAATACTAAAAACACTTTTTTACATTTCCTGGTGTTTGAAGTCCTTTTAAAAAATCTGATCCTAGGAATGTCATCATTTTTGCACAATACAGCAGGTCTCTGGTCTCAGACCAGTGTTCATTCTGTACAAGCCCCTTCCTTGTAATATTGAATGATGACAGACTTGCACCAACAGAGTAACATTTTATGAATATACCTTTGCTGAAAATAAGCTTTTCAGAGAAGGTCTCTGATTCCCTATGTGATTTCAGACACTACTATGATAAAAAAAAAATCCAAGAAAACATAGTATCAATACAATATCAAAATCAAATTTAATGAAAACAATCATAACAACAATAATAATGTTTTTGTAAGATTTTTATTAACATTAATATCATTTGATTTTAGTAAATAGACCGCATATGAACAGAATTGTCTTGTATCAACTTTCAGATGCTATGATGTTTGAAAATGTCAAAGTCACATTTTTTTCACTTGAATCACCTTTGCATTTTCAAGATAATGGTTGTCCTATCAGTCAAAAGGTTAGATTTAAACAATATGTATAATCGATTTGTATTAACCTTGACCTGACAAGGACTGTTTCTCTCTCAGGCTGTATAAGCATGAGAGAAGCTATTTGTGCTAAATGGCATGTAATGGGTTTTGTGACATGGCTTACTAATATTGAGATTGCTAAACTAATATTATGCTCTCTGTCCTCTAAAACAGTATGATTTAGAACTGGGGAGGGTTTGATCCGGTTGTATTTCAGGTCACACCTGTAAGCACTTAACGGCGTCTGGTTTACAAACTCCCTTTTTTTCTGATACGACCTTGTTTGTCCAGCAGGTCTCAGGAGATACCTGAAGGCTCCAGACAAGTGACTAAAGCGGCAGCCAGCAGCGCAACACACTGAGGAGAGGCCCTGCGAAAGCCTGCTGGTCAGATCCCACTTGGAACAGGTTTTACCCCATTCCACAGCTCGGTGCTAAGATGTCATCGGCTTTTCAAAGGCCACCCCAACAACAGCACGTGGGGCCCTGGCTGCGCATCCCTAGGGAGGAGCACGGGCAGCTCTGGAAGCCACCCAGCTGGAAAAACGGCCAAGAGCAGCCTCACCCAGAGGAAAACAAAGCGATCTAAGACGATTAACCCATCGTTTGTCATTGATTGTTTTTTTTTGTCATCAGGAGATTCAGGGTAATAAAATTTTATAAGATGCAAATTAGAGCTGTTTTTTGTTGTTGTTTTGTAACAGAAGGCTTTCTATGAAGAGAGGACTGCTGGTTAACAGGATATTGTAATTCCTTTTAGGAGAGAGCAGAGCTTTACCTATTTTCTATAACACCTCGGAGGAAGGCACTGGTATATCTTAGTTTGCAGTTAAAATGGCAAAGCACCAGGATGATGGCAGCACATTGCACATCCAGCCTTTCGGTGACTTCTTTCTGTAGCACCAAAACATTAGGGTTCAGCCAGGCACTGCACAAATGAGCAGCAAGGGACAATTCTCGCCTCAAGAAATTATCGCCATAGAGCACATCATGGGAAAGGGGAAATGACATGACCCAGGATCACGGAACACATGAGCTGCACAGCTAAAAATAGAGCCGTGGTCATCTGACGCCCATGCACAACCTCCGAATGTTTGGATTCCTCCGGGTGCACAGAAGGATCGCTTCCAAGAGGCTCAGCTCGGAAGCAGCTTAAAATCAAACAGACTGTAGAAGACAAAGAGGGGACTCTAGTTGTGGCATGAGGGCCCTCAGAGAGTGCATCCTAAGCGGAGTGGCCAAACTGAGCACAGATATATGCATTATCTTTAACTTCAGAGGAACTGCTGATTGATGGCATCCATAATTCTCTGCTCCGGTGAAGGACAATATGAGCCTTGTAATGCTCAACCCTTCTTTAAAATTCATGCTGCCTCTGAATTGCACCTGTGGCTGAAACCAGCTTCCCCGTTGGGCACACACTTGTGCAAGAAAAGTTTGGGTTTCCAAGCCGATTTTGAGCTTTGCATCTATTTTAAGATGCAGATCTGAGAAACAGAGACTTCCTGAATATCAAATTCAATTTCCTACTAACTAGCTTTCTGTATATAATTTATGTCACTTATTTGCTGAGCTGGGTGAAAAGATTTTTGGCCTTCTGAAGAATAATAATTAAATACAATTTATATTCTGTGTAAAACCAAGTAAGAGGAAAGGTGCCAGCGTGCAAGGGCTTGCATGCGGTGGCACTGCTCTGACATAAATAATTGCTGAACAGTTAAGTGTCAAAAGTAAAAATTTGGATGCTGAGAAGTCAGAGCTTTTATTATCAGTTTCATTTGATACAGCCAGTATTTAGCACCTCTAACAAGCAGAATCATAGAGTATTATTTCCTCCTAATGAGACATGGATGTATACAATTACATGAATAAATACAAAGCAATAACCAGGTCCTTTCAGCTAGCACTTCCAATTACTCTCGTAATATTAGACATTGTACTTCCAAATCACATATTTTCAAACTCATTTTGTAGTTGCGTTATGGAATAAGGCTTTTGCTTTCATTTGAAGCACCAGGAATTAGCCAATGATAGAGACATATGCAACACAGACAGTCTAATGGTCTGATATGGTATGGCAATTCCAATAACTTCCTATAAAAACAAGTTGCCTTTTTATTACTAGAATAAAATAATAAAATACATAAATAATGGACACTAACAGAACTCCATTAAAAAGTCAAACACCAACAGAACTGTTTAGCATTAAAGAACATTCTCTTAAAGGAATGTCATACATAGATTTTTTTTTAAACACAGTCTTGGGATACAAGGTCATATAGTGACAGGTTATTGGTGAGATTGATTTTTGACAATTCTGAACCTCTTAAACACCTCTTAAAGCCTCAGTATCTGTAGATTAACTTTCTTTAAGTTATGGAATTCTCTTTTGCTTTTAAAATATTGTGAGTGATTTTACTAAAGGTAGATTTTTTACACAGAAATAAATGGCTAGTACAGATTTTGAAAAACATCACAGGCTTTCTGAGGTCTATGTCTTCTAAAAAGAAATATTTATCCCCTTTAAAGGTCTGTGCTTATAGGAAAAAATATCATAAATAGTTAGGTATTTAAATATTATTCTTTACAGTTAGGATATAAATGAGTCAGAACCAAAATAATGACTGAAGCATTTTCAGTGTTTAGCAAAATTCAGATTCTGACGAACCACTGCAACCAGTTCATACGGACCAGTCATAATGAGTTACCTGGAGTAGGTCAATTAAAAATCCCTTAGCAAGGGAGAGATTCTCTAAAATTAAGCATTCGAGAGCCATTTAACTGAATGCCTCTCATGAGCTTGGGGGAACGCCACATTTGGCTCTGCAGTTTGTGGCCTTGTGAGCAATGCGTTGAGGCGCCAGGAGAACACGTAGAACTATCAAACACCTCTTAGCTGGGCAGTACACGCATCTGTTTGTACAGAAGTGGATCAGGCCTGCCAGTGTCAGAGAGGAGCTTGCTTTTGTTCTTATATGTGAACATTCCTTTACTGCTCTAGAATACTGATCTGGCTGGGAGTTTAGGCCAGCATCATGCAAAAATAAAAGCTATTAAAGGCTCTACCATGCTTTTAAGGAGGTCAGTACCATTTACCCTTTGCTTTCAGAAATAGCCCTATCAGGCCCACAACTGTTAGAGCTGTCACCCCCCAATCCCTCCCCATTAAAAAGGAACAATAAGATATATAAAAGTCAGACTGCCACAATTGTCTGTGATTCACTTTCTTCTAGTCTGAATAAAAGGCTTGATAGAATATGTTGCATCGCCTTTCTGTTTCTAAAAATACATCTGCCATACATTTTCTCACATTTTTATCTGTGCACAGAAAGAACCATTTAACAGCAGAATAATATTCACTAATATGCTGCCTTACTCTGGGAGGGTATGTGATGGAAATTGCTTCTGGAGATGGCTGTGAAGTTTTGCGAACTGGTCAAATGATTTTTCCACAAAAGTGACCACATTGCAGGTTTGCACCACCTGGACTAGATACAGCTGTATTGAGAAAAAGGAAGCAGCAGAAAGAGAAATGATTAGAGAAACGCATTAAAAAAAGTACAAGAGAAAATATAGGACGATTCTAACAAAGAAAAACCTTTCTTTAATGTAGTGCCAAGTGCCAGAGAATTCAGTTTGTAATTTATAGTCTTTGCTGTACAGAAAGAGAAACTTGCCTGGATAGCATACCATTCAAACACTGAAAGATCACTGCAGTGTGTGAAAACTAATAATGCACCATTAAAGCATCATATAACAGCTTCTGATTTCTATTAGGCTTCCTAATTTTGTGCCATGCTTTCCTTCTGGATGCTTTAATTAGCTCTTGATTTATTTTTCACTATAGGGCAGGAACTGTTCTCCTTAATGGCTCCCTGCTAATAGCTGTCTGCCTGGTGTTATTTCTCTCCAGTATCTCACTGCTTATGGCACTGCTGCTTATTCTGTGATCCTTCCAATGCTGCACAAACACATCTTAAACAATAGAGGAGGAAACCTATATAAGAAGGAAGAGTGGTTAAAGATCAAGATAAATGAGGGCAAGCTCACAAAATAATACATACAGAGTCAGGCTTCTTGTTGAACCCTAAAATGGTTGCTCTTGCAATAGCCTTCTCTGCATCCAGCACGATCCACTCTTGGGGAACAGTCTCTGGAGCAGCAGGCTTGGCAGAGCCTGTTACAGACATCTGTACGAGTGTGTGGATCAGGTTATTGAGCTTGACAGGAAAACACTCCAAACTTTCCTTTATTTTCCTGAAAAACAAGCAAACACACAAAACAGAAAGAAGAGGCTCATCTCTTTTGTTGCCACTTCTTGACTTTTGGTGTCATGCATGCAATAACTATAAAACCCCCACGCCTAAAACCCACCTCCCAGGAACATGTACCATGTTCACAACAGCCACCACTATGTAGAACAGCATAACACATCCAGCCTTGGCATTCCACTGCTCAGGTAAATCCTCTTGGTCTAGCCCATCGGATGGCTTACCGTGGTGGTCACTCTTCAAGGACTAGATATGCATCAGCCTTCTTTCAAACATGAGAGAAAGCCAGAATGTTTCCGGAGATATTTTGAGGTAGGAGACCACGGGCTCCTTTCGACAGGCAGGGGAGCACCCTCCTTTTGGTTACGTTAACCTCACGTGGATATCCAAGCGTTCGCACAGACTGAAAAATCTCTTGTGTCCAGTTTGCTGGGGCAGGGGACAGATAGGCGGGGATTGTTGCTAATTGCCCTACCCAAGTGTTAAAAATGCTATCCCTGTGGAGCTGCACAAGATGAAGAAATAAAATAGAGGAATTTTCTCCCTTCTGTGTTCCCCTATTTCACCCCTGTGCAAGAGGAATCAGAAAAAAAACATCTAATTTCCTAAGCTTTGAGATCCTTTATCAGAAAAAAGGCACAATAGATGGAAAAATAACTAGATACACATATAAATGTAGAGTGTGAATTTGTCTTAACATCAAAACGAACTCTACTTGAGAAATAACATGGCAAGATAATCACTGGTCTTTGAAGAGTAAGAAGCAGTACTCATTAGAAAATACTTGCCTTGTTGAACCCAATTGCTGGTTAAAATCTATTTATTTTGTGATACCTTCCCCCCCAAGCCCCCTTCTTCTGGTTATTTCTGCAGCTCTCTGAACATTTTCTAGACCGATTTTGATTTTATAAAATAACAACCAGCTCGTTTCACATTATGCACTACCAGAACACTGGAAAACATTTTTTTTTTCTTTTTTTTTTCCAGTTTTGGACTAAATTTAACTTGCTTAGCCAGGGTACTTAAGGGCTCAGAAACCCTAACCAACTAATCTGCCCAAACATTCTGGCTGAAATCTTTATGCTACACAGATGCAACCACACCAAAAAGAACATTTCTACCTGCAGATAACCCTCACAAGCTTGACGTTTCATTTAACATACTGTGCAAATTGATGACTCTAAAATGGTCATATTAACCCGAGTGATGGTGGAGAAAATAAAATATATATTTGTTTCTTAATGCAGTAAAAGGGAAGTTGTCTCTGAATGGATTCACTTAACTGTCTTATTAATTAGATTCTCACAAAACAGATACACACAGATTATATAACAAATGACACAAATGAACGCTGAAATGAAGAAAATAGTTCTCAATTCAAAATAATAGTAGAAAATAAATACCGTCCTGATTACATAAAACAAGATGCAACATTACAGGTTGCATCTGAGGTTGACTTCTTTTAAGCCGCTACTTATTTGATTTAATGTTTAGATAAATCACTGGGCCGTGATTTAGCTTATAGAATTTGTAACTTGTCTATATTATAGCAAAGCAATATTACTGTGATATTACTATAAATACATATTAATTTTACAGCTAAATACAGTGCATTTTAAATCATATAAAACATGCTTTTGCTTATAAACTAATATTAATTCAGACATTATCACTATCACAGAGCAGATGATATCAGAATACATCATCTACACAATTTAGTATTTTAGTGGCTTGTTGTTCTTTCCATGGGTTCATTAAGCTTCTAAAATGCTTTTAATGCCAAGATTGCTAATTACATTGCTTCTCTTTAAACCTAAACAAAGGCTTTTGTTTTTCTTGCGCAATTTCTCAGTGAGTTATTTATATTTAAAAGAAAGATTATGTTTAAAAAAAAATCACTGAAATGTTACCATTTTCTCCTTCTCTATATTTTTTAATTTCTCTGTATGCACTCCTATCTGTAACAGTGGAAAGCACACAATCCTTAGTTCACATTACAAGCAAGGAATTGAAAAACCATCTTTTGCCATTCTGCTGTCATCTCGGAGTGTGCCTTCACAGCAAGGTAGAACAACTCTGGTTACGATTCTCCGCATTTTCTTGCAAACTCAAACTGGCTTAAGGAAATCCCACTCTGTCCCAGAGAGAGTATCTCTAGAGCCAATTCCTAGCTGTGTGTGTAGCAGTGTGGTACATCAAGCCCATGTGTCCTGTCTTCTTTAATTTTGCAGGTTATTTTTGGTGTAGATTAATTTGCTGACCCAACTGACAGCATTTTCTCACAGGCACAAGAACTATGTGGAAGATCATGGTGAGGAAGGACATGGCGGCTTTGTGGCACATGAGCGTAGAAGCCCCTAGAGCTCCCTGCACACTCCCTTCCCATGGGGGACAGATTTGTGGTAGTGAGGTGGTCAGCAGAGCAAGAACTGAAAGGCCAGAGAGGGTCAGCGACTTGTGCTTGGCATGCAACAGTCGGATTGAAGCAGGTTCCCCTCTCTGCCTCACTGGGCCCTGCCAGGACTTCATTTCATCATAAGGATCCATGGAGGACCCTTCTCCTTGAACTCTTTGAGATATATACATGCCTTCTCTTCCCTCTAGCCACATGAAATGTAGCCAAAGCAAAACAAGTGGTCAGGTCATATGTATCCGTTGCTGAAGTGTTCTTGTTCCTCAGGTCATGACCACGTTTGCCTGTGCCAAGGCTGGTTAGCCCTCCACAAGAAGGTGGATAAAACATTTGTATGTTACTGCAGAGCTCTGGTAGCCCAAGTTGTTCAGAGAATTACTTGCTAAGGCATCAAATAGGCATCAAATGAACAAGCTAACAAACAGAGAAAATTGTTGTTAACTAGAGTAATCCTAATTTGTGAATTGTTTCATTGTGCACAATGTTTTCAGGCAGAAACATGTGTTTTCCACATGACAATATCCCTTTACTATTCAGGTTAGTGTCTTACCTACTTCTCAAAAAGGTGACTTAAATATTTAGTATTATTCATAGGCACTTTCTGCCTTCCATCTGTTGAAATGAATTAGAATTTCAGATTTGGTTCATGGTCCTTCTACAGAACTATCAAATTACTAGAGGAGATAGGAAAAAAACAGACTTGGTTGCTTTTGTGAACAGAAATGAATGAAAAGTTCAGCTAACCTTTTCAAGAGTGATTATTAATTGTTAGGACTTTGATTTTTTAGAAAGCAGACACTTCGTACAGGAGAGGTATTCTGAGGGTTAGCACTTAAATCACCACACCAGCCATTCTCCATAGACTCTCAAGAGTAGATGGGCTCACAGTCATTGGCAAGTTATTCAGTCTTAGCCTTAGTATATGTTATAATAAATCTTTACTCTCAAACTTCGGAATCATTTTCTGTATCAGTTATGGTGGCCTTGTGCATCTCATTTCCATGAAATATATAAAAATAATATGAAATAATCTGAAAATAATTTAGAGCACAGTGAGCAAGATTTATTTTCATGGGATTATCATGTGTCAATGTAAGTGGCATTTCTTTGGAAAGGCCTTTTTCATTGAGATTTGTACCCAGTTTTAACAGGATTCATTTTAAAACAAGTTAGTTAGATAGTATGCCTCCAGTGACTCTTAACAGAAACACTTTTCCAGAATCCTACTGCTTTCATAGGTAGACCTTCTCTAATTTTCATCAGCATTTATTCAGGAACAGTGGGTATCCTTTGTGTACAGCAGTGATAATCCTTCAGTTTAATATCTTACTTCCCACTGTGATAATAAATAGGAAAAAAAAGACATCCTTCTTCCCCTTTATTTTGCTAGGCTATACGAATCTAGAAAATGTTTAATTTCCTAGAGAGGCTCCTCCTAGTTATCACAGGCTAACTATATTAGAAAGTACTGAAGCCCAACAGGAGCAGATTTACTGCATGAGCCGCGGTGCTGAGACTCACATAGATATACTAGATGCCTTTTGAGGGTTTATCTCAGATTACCTTTAGTCTGATCCTACAGGCTGAACAGTTCAGAAGCTCCAGTCCAGTCCAGGGAGCTGGACAGGCTGGACAACTGGGCAGTGAGAAACCTCATGAAATTCAACAAGGGCAAGTATAAGGTCTTGTACCTGGGGAGCAATAACCCCAGACACAAGTACAGGCTGGGGACTGACCTTCTGGAGGGCAGCTCTGCAGAGAAGGACCTGGGCATCATGGTGGATGATAAGTTGACCATGAGGCAGCAGTGTGCCCTCGTGGCCAAGAAGGCCAATGGGATTCTGGGTGCATTAAGAAGAG